AGATTATTACTTATAGATTTATATATTACGGCTAGCTAGTTATAATAAGTATATTAATAAAAGTTAAGGCTATAAGTACTAAATAAATAGTATTATAATCGTAAATAGCTTTTTTAAAACTATATTTATAAATTATAAAATAAATAAAGCTTTAGTAATTAATTATAATCTTATTAAAAAAGGTTCTTAATAAAAATAGCTAAAAGCGATCGTAAGATCTAATACTAAATTAATTACTAAAGAGCTATAAAAGTTTATCCTTAAGCTTAGCTTAAGTTTATACTATATATAAGTTAATAAATCCTAAGAATCCTTATATATTTTTAACGTTTTATAATATAGGCTATTCCCTAATTACTTCTACTTTTAATACTTATATATAAATTTATTTTAATATAATAGTATATTTAAAAAAGTCTACTTTTTATATATAGAACTCGTACTTAAAGGGTTCGGTATATAGCTTAATATCTTAGAGCTTTTAAAATACTATATAAACATACTTCTTATATATTTTAAAATTAAGAGAGAAAATAAGAATATTATTAATATAAATAATAATAAAAATATTAACGTATTCCTAGAGTACGTAGTTAATTATTATTTAAAAAGTTACCGGAGTATTAATAAGTCTAAAGGGTATAATAAAGTACTTAAAGAGTCCTCTATAAGTTTAAAATACTATTTTCTATTCGTTTTTTTTTAATCCGAATTTAGTTAAATACTTTTTTAAAATTTATAATAATAAACTAATTAGCTCCGTAAAATAGATTTCTAAGCTTAGTAATAAATAATAAAAAATAGTAATTCTTCTTTATAATTTTATTAAGTCTTTTATAATTAATAATAAGTTTTTATTTTTTTACTCCTTTTTTTAATACGAAGAATAGGGGTAATTCTATGAAAGAATTTAATAATTAAATATATCCCTTTTTAAGTTTTTTATTAATATATTTATTAAAATATTCTTATTTTTCTTAATTTATTAAGTATATTAAAAAGAACCTAAGTTACGTTCCTTTTTTAAATTCGATTTTTATATCCTAATTACTATATTTTTATAATCCTATTTTTTTAAGTTTTATAAATAGTTTTATATATATTTAGTACTTTTTAAATATAATTTAAAGTTATTACGATCCCTAATTATTAATACTAGTTATAAACTTCTTAAAGCTTTTTATTATTTTAATAAAAGCTATATATTATATTTATTTTCGTTCTTTAGGAGTTCTTAAAAATCTATTTAAACTTTTTTTTTTAAAAAATTATTTAGTAACTAGATTTTCTTAGAGGACCTAGCTAATAATTTAATTTATTTATAAGTTATATTTTCGTAACTATAGAATTCCTAGGATAACGTCGATATTTTTAATCTTTATAATATTATATTATAGTTATTCTTATTAATTATTAATATATATCGAGAAGTATACGGTCTCTTAATTAATATATCTATAATTATAATTAACTCGTTCTCTTTCTACCGTTTATAATTAATATAAGTTATTTTTTTATATTTATAATAAATTAAGTTTATTTACTATTCTTAATAAAATATAAGTTTTTTATATATTATTATTAATAATAATATTTAGTCCTCGTTTATAAATATTAAAATTAACTTATAAATATACGTTATTACGTTATTTAGTTATATATAAGAACTTTTTTTATATTTTTACTTTTTATTATTTTTTTATAATTAGCTTTTTTAGTTTTTATTATTTATTTTTTTAAACGGTTTTTTTATTTAGATCTCTCTTAATATTCCCTCTATATTTTAGCTTTTTTAATATAATAAATTTAATATTAGTTATATTTATAGTTTTTTTAATTTATATATTCGCTATTAAAGTATTTTATAAAGAAGTTAGGGTCTAGGCTAAATATTACTTTATTATTATTATTAAAGCTTAGTAACGTTTAATTAAGTAGTTAGTCTTTTATATAAATATTTTTAATAAGTTTATTATTACGTTTTTATAAATAGAAACGATTATTTTATTTATATATAAAGTAATAAAAATATTTATTATTTAAGTATTTTACTTAAAATAATTCTTTATAAAAAGGGTTTTCGAAGTTAAGTAAAGAGTAATCTTTATTTATATAGGGGGTTATTATAACCTTTTTACGTTCTCTAGTTTTATAGAACTAAATAGTTTAGTTATTTTTAAATAGATAAATATATTTATACTATAATTCGTTATTATCCTTTTTAAAATTAGTATTATTAACGCTAAGTAGTATTTTATAATTAATCTCTATTTAAATACGTTATTAAGTAATATTACGAGGTTCGTCCGAGTTATAGGATAATTCTATTTTAATAAAATAAAAAGAGCTAGTTCTTATTTTAATATTCTTTTTTTAAAATTAAAATTAATTTTTCTTTTTTTTATAATTCCGAAGTTAAGAATTAGTTTCTTAATTATTTCGATCTTATTTTTATATAAGAGGTTTTTAAGCTACTCTTTAACTTTATAAATAAACTTTATATTATTATTTATTTTTTATATTATATAAATAGACTTAGTTAGGTTTTTATTTAAATCGAGTCCTTTTTTAGACTTAGTAAATTATTTTTAGTTTATATAATTTCGTTATATTATATAAACGAGGCTACTTATAATTTTTTTAATATTAAGTCCTCTTTTTTTAATTTTAAAAAGCTACTTTTTTATATTAACTAAATATCTTTATTTAATTCGTTTTTTAAAAAAATAAAATATATCTTTTATAACGGGGTCTATTTTAGCTTTCTTTTTTATATTTTTATAAATTTAAAAGAGTATAATAATATACTTAATATTATTTGTTTTAAGAGTATAGGGTTAGTAAATAAGTATTATTTTTTTTTTAGTTATTATTACTAAGGTCTTAATAAATAGTGTAATATCGTATCTAGATCGTCCTATATTTTTAAATTATTTAAGGTACTATCCTATTTATTCTTTATTATTTTAATCAACGAAGTAGTTATTATTATAATAAGTTATTTATAAGAGTTATTTATAAAGAACTTCTTTATTTATAATATTAGCTCGCTTTTTTAAAATAAGTTAGTATTAAATACGCTTAAGTTATTAATAATATTTAGTTATATATCCTAGCTTATCGTAATTATAATACTTAAAGTCCTTTTTTTAATAAAGTTATTTTTTTTTAGTAACGTTAAGATTTATAAGTCTACTATAATACTTAATTATAATAATCGTTAATTTATATTTACGTTTATTATTAAGCTTAGATCGGTTATTCTAAGCGTTTTACCCTTTTTATTTAAAGCGTTATTCGTAAAGTTAATTATTAATTTTAATAGTTATATTAATATAATTATAGAGTTTATTAAGCCGGTTTTATTAAAAAAGGTCGTTCTTAACTTCTTTTTTTAAATTATAATAAAAAGCTATTATAAATACTTTATTACCCTAATCGAGCTTAGAAATAATCTATCTAAATTTAAATATATATTTATTAACTAATCCTTTTTATATAAGGGTTATAAGCTTTTATTTAGTAATTCGTTCTTTATTAGGGTTACTAAAAAAATTTTTAAATCTTTTTTCAAACTTATTATAATTATTAAAAATCTTTTTAATATTTTTATCCTAAATATTACGTTTATTTTTAAAATAGTCTTTTATAAAAAGTTCGAACTAAATAAGGGTATTTCTTTTTAAAAAATAAAACTATATAATAAACCTTATTAGTTTTAGTAATAAAAAAGGTTTTATAATAATATAAATAGGCCCTAATTTAAATAAGGAATTCTTAGAGAGTATTTAGGGACCCGTTATAAAGTTCTAATTTAGAATACTTAGTTCTAAATATTAAAAAAAGTTAGGGTATTATTAGTTAAGTATAAAGTTATTTATTCTCGTTTTTAAATTTAAATATTATATTATATAGTTATTAAATAGTAAGTATAGCTATTTTAATAAGCTACGCTATATTATTATTACTAATAATTAATATATTCGTATTACTTAGTTAGTTTTTTATAAAATAAACTTATTAAATAAGAATAATTAAAATATTATAGCTAGTTAGTTATAATAAGTATATTAATAAAAATTAAAGTTATAAATACTAAGTAAATAGTATTATAGTTATAAATAGCTTTTTTAAAACTATATTTATAAATTATAAAATAAATAAGGCTTTAATAATTAATTATAATTTTATTAAAAAGGGTTTTTAATAAAAATAGCTAAAAATAATGGTAAGATCTAATATTAAGTTAATTATTAAAGAGCTATAAAAGTTTATCCTTAAGCTTAGCTTAAGTTTATATTATATTTAAGTCTATTTATAAATATATCCTTTATTATAATTACTCTTATTTATTTAAGTAATCGCTTAGTAAATATTAATAAGTGCTTATTTAGAGTAATTATAATAATTATTTTACTATATAATTACTACTTCTTATTTATATATAATTTATTTATAGTTCTTTTATTTTATAAAAGCTATTTTATATTTTATACTCTTATATATATAATATACTATAGCCGTTATAAGCCTACGGGGCGGGCCCTAGTCTTAGTTATATATATTAAGTCGTAATATTATACTATTTTTATCTTAGTTCGACTTAGTACTATTATTTAAACTACGAACTATTACCTAGTTTTAAAAAAGATTATATTTAATCTTCTTGCGACTAAGTCGGCTAGGGCGAGCTAATATTAGAACCTAAATAATACTAAGGAGAAGCTCTAGAGACGTATCGAATTAGGTAAGAAGGATAGGAGGCTAGATCTTATCGAGGGTCTTTTAAAAAAGAAAAACGAGCTAATAAGTACTTTTAATTCCTTTCTTAAGACTTAATGAGTTTTTAGATAAGATGTTTTTATACTAATAGCAGACTAAAAAACCTCTCCTTTGAGTAGCTTATTACTAATAGTAATACCCTCGTTATCGGAGGGTCGGAGACTATAATAACGCTACTATCCGGGGTTATTTACTACCTCTTAATTAGTAAGTACGCAATGAGTAAGCTAGTATCTAAAGTCCGATTAACTTTCAAGACCGAGGATAAGATTAATATTACGTTTGTAAATAAGCTTAGCTATATGCTTGTATGCTTGGACGAGGCCCTTTGGATATATCTGCTGGTGGTAATGGGCTTGCCCTGGGTTACCCCCCGAGAAGGCGCCACTGTCTGCGGACGTTTCGTCCCTAGAAATGTTGGTTTACTACTCTCCGGGAGTCGGCCGATGACTGACATCGCGCAGACCACCGTTGCTATCCACCAATGGGCGATCCATCATAACGAAACCTACTTCAAGGATCCCTTTAGCTTCCGCCCCGAGAGATTCCTCGGAGATCCAGAGTTTGCCACAGATAAGCGCGATGTATTCCAGCCATTTCACATCGGGGCTCGAAATTGTTTGGGACGAAAGTACGATTACCCCCCTCCTCTTGCACAGTTTACTTGTTCTATGGGCCTTAGGAAGATTTTGCTGACCCGAACAACTTGGCTTATGTCAAAATGCAACTTATTTTGGCGCATCTGACTTGGAACTTTGACATGGAGCTGGCGGAAGAAAGCCGTGGATGGGCGGAGAAACAGAAGGTTTACATCCTTTGGGAAAAAGGTCCTCTGGAGGTTCACCTGAGCCCAGTCCAGAGAGTTTAATCCAGTCCTTGAATCTAAGGGTCTTCTAGAAGACATCTACTGTTATCTATATCTCTCCAAAAGTTCTCAATAAGGTAGACCATGTGTTACGATGCACGAAAATAGTCGATCGTATATCAATGTTATTTTCGGCTGTGTGCTGGTTGCTCTAGTCTAATTATAAGCTTAGGTAGCTGTGGAATAAAAGAGTCAATGGAGCACCATTGTCGATACTTCAGGGAGCAAACACTTATCCCCCTTCCCCAAAGACCAGAATAATATCAGTAAGATTGATAGACATCAATACAATTGTGGCTATGTTAGAACGACCAAATTGAGTGTTAAGCAGTAACGTTAACCGGGAATCGGAGCTTACGGAACGCGAGATGTTCGTCTATTCTGCCCATTTAGTCCAATAGGACCGGTCTCCATCCTACCCTTACAGTGGAAACATATCCACGATAGATGTTTCCATCCCACCGGAAGGCCAAGGCCATAGAACAAGGAAGGTAGCAACCAACGTTCAGATGCCTGCACTTGCGCGCGAATGGAAAGATAAAAAGAAAAAAGGAAGCATTTCACAGCTAAGAAGTTGAGATAATTCTTGCTTCTCTCAGCTAAATGGCCTCGTATGCGAGCCTAGGATTGAGACCTCCTGCCTTTTCAAGCCTTCGATTCCGCCTCGTGTTCTTATGTTGGCATCTGCTACTGAGCCCGTTGCATTAGACTATCTCGATGACAACATCATACGTCTATACGAAGTTTCACTGCTTACATGTCGATTCTGTGAACGGCTCATGTTTATATATGTACTTGGTGACTTGTCTGTTCAAGTTCAGAGAATCTTCAAGCTTTGCTTTCTTTTGACTTTCATCGCTGCCTCGTAAAACGAAGCTCTCTTTCATTCGTTTGTAAGGTTCAGTTTCAATCACCGACGAGATGCGGCTGAAAGCTTCGCTTCTATCATGCCTCGTGACCGCCTTGGGCGTCACAAGCCAGCGTACCTGCGGCACCCCGGCCCCCCTCCAGGAACATGAAGAAGTGTCCCGCGTTTTTCGGCTAACAGAAAATGCGAACGGCTTGGCGAAACCGGTTCCAATTAAAATCAACATCTACTGGCACGTCGTTGCGGCAAACGAAACCGTCGACGGCGGGTTTCATCCTCAAAGCACCTTGGACAGACAATTGGCCGTCATGAATGGAGCCTTTGCGCCCCATGATGTGCAGTTCACTCAGGTCGGTGCCGACTGGACGATCAACGCATCGTGGGCTGCCGAGTCACCAGTGTCCATCACCATGAAGAAAGCGCTTAGAAAGGGCACTTACGCGGACTTGAACATCTACTTCATACCCGATACGCCGCTCCTTGGTTTCGCTTCCTGGCCAGACGCCGTGGTAGTCGGCTCAGACGAGTTCTACATGGATGGTGTCGTCATTCGAGCTGCATCTGTTCCTGGAGGCTCCCTCAGTCCGTATAACGGCGGCCACACGGCGACCCACGAAACCGGCCATTGGCTTGGACGTAAGCTATCTAGCAGTCTCCCACATCTGAAGAGACGATTTTACTAATTCTGGGTGTAGTATACCACACGTTTCAGGGCGATGAATGCGGTGGAGATGGTGACTTCGTCGACGACACACCATTTGAGGCGGAAGAGGCCTTTGGGTGTCCTATCGGCCGCGATACGTGCCCCGATCTTCCCGGGGCTGATCCTGTTACCAACTACATGGATTACTCCGATGAGTGAGCGAATCTTCTGATACGTGAAGGACATATGACTAACCTCAGTTAGCGCCTGCTTCACACACTTTACCTCCGGCCAAGGGGTTCGGATGCATTCGTTCTGGGATAAATACCGTGCCCAGTATCAGTAAATCATTGATTACCTGTCAGAGGATATAATTTTGAGGGACCATGCTTTAAGACAAGGTACTAGAGAGGAAGCGAAGAGAGTTGTGATTAAGTCGATTAGTGGAAGTAGTGGGCTTATTGTCTAATACCCCCCATAAGTCACGAGATGCATATGAAATGAAGCTTGTCGGCTTATAGAATTCTGATTGCATCCAAGTTGTAAGCGTATCGCTTCCGTGAATGATAACAACTATCCTTGCTTCTGCGTCGTGGTAATTTACACATCCTGTGACGAGGATCCGTGAGAAATTGACTCAAACACAACTTCCCGCTGCCACAAGATCCATCGCCTGTACCAGTACGGAATCACAACGGTGAACTGATACCGGATAAACTTCCAACTCCTGACAGCAAACACTACATCCAACTCCTCCAACGTCAACTGCTTGGTCTCAGGCAAGAAGGCAAAGATCATAAGTAGAGCTAATATGTTCAAGCCACAGTAGAAGCCGAACGCCCCCGTCGGAGTGAGCGCAGACAGCATGTAGGGAAAAGTCAGTCCCAAGATGGAAGCCCCGACAGCGTTGATAACGACGCTCCAGGCCATACCAAGTTCTCGGTGGGACAAAGGGAAAACCTCTGTCGCGTAGACGAAGCAAACGGGACCGAGGCCAATGCTGTAGAAGGCCGTGGATGAGAAGATGAAGAGCGCGATGAGGGCAAGTCGAGCCGTTCCGTCGCCTCCATTGAGGAAACAGAACCCCGCTGCAAGCAAGGTCCATGCCATGTGCGGGAACGTGGTGAGCAGAAGGTTTCGACGACCGTAGCTGTCGATGAGCCACAGGGCGGGGATAGCGAAAGTGAAGTTCACCAGTCCAAAGCCCCATGATGCCCACAGTGCCCTCTGCTCAGAGAATTCTGATTCGACGAAGATCGGTGACGAGTAGAACGATATAATATTGACTGCTGTCATGCTAAGTTCCGTTATTTGCAGAAGAACCCCAACATGCAATTACTTACTGCCACACATTTGTTGGGCCAGCATAATCGTCGCCGCGGCCAGATTGGCCCTCCGTATCCGGGGAATTGTGAACAACTCCTGGAAGCGCTTCAATGCACTTCCCCTGTGAGCAAATAGGCTCTTCTCTGTCTCGAGAGCAATGTGCATGAGTAGCAGATCGCGAGCAGCCTGTAGCTTGGTGAACCGCAACCTCTGCAGCGACGCAAATGCATCAGCCGGCCTGTTCATCTTCATGTACCAACGTGGACCTGTGGCGCGGTTGATTAGTCGTGGTATCTCAGCAGCCAAAGCTTACTCACTTTCCAGGCAAAGATAAATCATGAAGATGAGCGGCACTGCCGGTATCATTGCATCTTTATCAAAAATAATATCTCTTATCGTAATAATCCGGCCTATCTATAAATTCTAGATACAATATATATTTATTAACTAGTATCCGACCAGAAATCCAACCCATACTCTAAAGTTTAACCTTTATTTCTTCTTTTATTATAGCTAGGCTTCTAAAATCATTACATATGCCTTGCACCCATAGACGCGTAGGTATACCTAATATAGCTTTCGATCTTGAACCACGATTCCGTCTCTATATACGAGAGCTATATAAAATCGGTCGTACGGGTTCTTTTCGCACCTGTTTGCCTATAAATCGACAGCGAAGAATACCAGGCTTCCGCCGAAAGTGGCTAGAGTGATGATAGGAAAACCTTAGGAAAGCAAGAGTTCCAGGAGATTAAGTTGAAACCAGGCAATTGCGATAGAAATGTGAAGTGGGTTGGATGAGATGCTTAGCGTGGACTTCACTGCGACGCCGATGAGCTCTGCCATGTGATGTATGTCGGTCCAATGGATAAAGTATTGGTTTTTGTAGCCTAAGGCCGAATGCCAGGTCGTTTTGTGTTGGTGTTTTGTAGAAGAATGGGAGACATCCTATATTGATGGGTCTTCTTTCCATTAAGCCCCAGTCCACTTTCGGACACGAATTGCCCAGATCGATCACTATTGCAAAAGCACCTGCATGGCTAGAAACGGGCATGGTCTCTATCGACACAGTACCACGTGGAGAAGTGCCACAAGCTGCAATCATTTGAGGCGTTCCGAAAGATAACGTTGGGATCCACTTCAGCCTTCACCAAGAGGACCAAGAGGAGTGATAATCAAAATCGGCTACGCTCACAGTTCCGACAAGAAGTGTACAAGTAAGGCTTCAATAAGTTTCCGATGCCGTGAAATGGAAAGTCCTAGAATCGACTTAGCCAAAATATTTGGGTTTTCAAATTCTTTCGAGCCACGACCTCACGTAAAGTGTCTTCAGGACTTTTTATGTCATATCCGCAAAACCGGCATGACTACAACGCCCCTTTTGCGACGGCAAGCGTTATGACTTGGTCATGCTACATATTCTTAAGTTTTGAATCCCTGTCGTATGGTCATATGGCCCATAACCGTTGAAACTCAAGTGGGAGCCGGCCGATTAGTAATCTACCCCTTGACTTCAACGACCGCCTAGGAATGACTCGGAAACCATACGTGTCGAGACACATCATACGAAGGCAAGTACTCAGATGCCTCCTGTTTCTTTGCATGGTAATGGTGTCCTTTTAACCGGTAGAAACGTGAAAGCAAGCTCATGCACCGTAACGCCCGTTTTCCAAAATTTTAATTCACATCTACGCTAGCAACTCAACCTCATCATTACTTGTCCAGCAAGACATGGCGAAATCGTTCTTTGCGAGAATCTTTCGACCGCCTTGGTCCAACACGACTTCACAAGGGTCACAATCTCTCAGCAACGGAACTCCTGAGCATGCGTATGACTTAATTGAACCATGGATCAAGAACGACTTGGATATACCTATAGATGCAACCAACCGCGATAGATGGCCCAGCCTCATCTTGCAGGCCCGAAGGCATATGAGATGCCACCCCTATCACCCAAAACGCCTGCCCAAAAGCTATCGCCCTTTCCAAATGATCGTGGACTCTCCAGAAGACGAAGGCGAGAGGTCAAAGAAGGAAGTTGATATATCCGAACCGTCTACGTTCTTCCTATTCACGGACCTTCCAAAAGAGCTCAGAGACAAGATCTTGCTCTCGTCACAGACCCCGATCATCATGGAGGGTTTCGCAGTGATGGACGAGGAATGGAGAGGGGGCCCGCAAGTACACTTCCGCTCGTACAGGTCCTGGGCTCGAATACCTCTTTACGCCGTGAGCCGCGAGACGAGAGCGCTGGCCACCACCTTCTTCGGCAAACCGGATCCGCTCTCTGTACCGTTCAACCCGTCTCAAGACGCCATTCTCTTGGACTGGGATGATTCCAAGCAGGCTGAGCGTCGCTGGACGGGCAACCATAGAAGCCCAGGGCCCGTACTGATGACTCCCCGATGGAACGCAGCCGAGGAGTGGGCTATGCCGAGGGAACTGTGTGATAGAATCTGCCACATCAAGGTTGACGCGCGCCACGCCTCTTCCGAGAATACAGACAAGGGAGACAAGGTGCCTTGGCGGCTTGTTTTTGGGCTGCTCAAAGAGCACTTCCCTAACATTACGATGTTGGAGGTGAAGCTGTCGGACTTGGACGATAAGAGGTTCGAGGGGACGTACGATCCGGTTGGTCAGGAGCTTTATAGGATTGATCAGCTGGATCTTTTGGACGAGCTGGAAGAAATTTCTGGAGATGGGCGGGTGCCGTTCCAGAGCTTAAGGCGCTTTATCATCACACCGGAACTCCCGACTCCTCTCCAGGCCGAGAGAGAGATTCTCAAGTTTCGAAAGGTGGGGGGCAGCCATTTCAAAGTCATTAGACAGGGCCAAATTCCCAAGGTTGGATAGTGAACCATGTTCTACAAGGTAGTTTATGGACTATGCGCGGGACCTCAACTGGATAGTATCATTTGGCCAAGTCTTCTTTGAAACTTCTGGCCATGTAGCTATCTGGTACTAATACATAGTTCATGCTTTGCCGTACAGACACCTCACAACACCGTTGTGTGAATGAGCGAATTGCCTACCTGGGCAAGCCTCCGCACCTCCTATATAAAATATGGTGAGCTACAGGTAACTTTCCTGGAGTCCAGACTTCAAGAAATCTGGCTATCATTCCGGCCGTTTGTAATCAGAGGCAGGAATCCCGAAGATTTGATCAAATTTCCACAGAGCGTCCGGAAACTCGTCCAAATCCCTGACATCCGCCCCGCTTTCAAGTAGCAGTCTGGCCGTCTTCCCAGCGTGACCTCGCTCGTACCTAAAGACCTCCGATGTACGCAGAGCAACAACAAGTGGAGGCAAGTGTCCGATCCTACCCAAGGACAGCCAACGTCCACCGGTAAGGCCTGCACCAGCCTCCAGCAGGGCGCGGACAACGTCTGCCTCCCGACCCTCAGCTGCGATAGACAAGGCCGTCCGTAGGATCATTTGACCAAAAGCCCCAGTCAAAGTTGGTGCTATGGACTTTACGAATGCCAACCGCGACGCGTGCCAGATCTGGTATCTCGCCTCTGCTTGGGCGTCGCCTCTCGCGGAATAACGTAACAACCCATATGAAAAGGCGTGCATACTCGGCAGACACGCAATCTCAAGGGGCGTGAAGTCCTGGACCTGAAGACCGTTGCCGTTGCACCTCATGTGGAACACGCCGCCCTGCGAGAGAGGCCGTTGAACCAATACAGGACAGCCGGCGCGAATGAATGCCGTAGTGGGCGAAGCTCCGATCGAGAGGAGGACACGCGCCTGATCAAAAATGCCCATGTAGCAGGCCTCTATGAGAAGCGTGTGTCCCAAGCCGCGGTCGTCGTCAACATTGGCCCCGTGAAGAGCCAGTAAGGCAGCCCAATCCGCAAAGAAGTCTGGCCGTCTTTTCTTGTTGATTGACAGATAGAAAGCATGCATCAGAGCGGTTCTGCCATCCATGTACGTCCATCTTACATTGACGTCGGCGCCAAAGAAAAAATAATTGCCAATGACTATGTAGTAGTTGTTGAAGGATAAATGTCGAAGGAAGAACGCCGCCACCCTCAAGAAATCATGATTCATGAGGCTTGCCAGTGTCAGTCTCGTGTAGAATCGAACGAGATAACCCAAGTCCATTGCTAGCACTGTTGGCAAAACTCTCAGCAGCATCTCTTCGTCGTCGTGGTCAAGAGCCATGTCGCAGAGACGCCAATATACCCCGCGTGTCTTTCCTTCTGCGTCGAGAAGTTCAGGATTGAGTAGTATTTTCCAATTGGGTTTGTGGTTGCACAGCAAGGTGAAGGCTTCGTAGTTGGCTTGATGGACAGCGATACTGAGCGGCGTCAGACAAAGTTCGTCGGGCATTGCTCGTCGGAGGCGGTGTATTTTGACAGCCGTTTTTGTGTGACAACGCGTCACGAAAATCTCGTCAAATTCTTGGTAAAAGAACCGCCGAAAGATGTTCGTCGGACTAACAAGAAACGGCGGATAGGACAGTAGTCGACTGGCAACTTCCATATCGCGAATCTTTGCATTCTGGCTTGCTCCCGCCTTGAGGAATCTCTTCATGAGATCAATCCTGCCGAGTACGGTGGCCCAGCGGAGTAGATAGGGGTGTCTGTCAACCACCCTTTTGTGATAGATGGGGATGCAGCAATGATAAAAGCCTTTGCACGTTCGAGATAGTGCGTATATGTCATCTACTACTCGAACGTCGACGCATTGAGCAATCCTCTCGATGATTTCCATTGGAAGAGTGAATATTGACGTCGGGGCCGAGGCCGACGACGCTGTCTCAACTTGAGTGGGAGCATCACTAAGATGCTCTGCTCTCATTCTTTCTCTTGTTTGGATGTGTTGATGCGGTACCCAGTATGTTGCTGAAAGTTATAAGGTGGATGTGAAGCTCCAGGTTCCAACTTCTAAAAGGCGGCTTGCGGGAATGTAATCTCTTACATTTGATAAAAACAGGCGACATTTAGTTTTCAGATCGAATAGCTTGATCATGAAGTTGAAGATGGGCTAGCTGCCGCGGGGACTGAAAGGTCTAATAAAAGCTTGATTTTGACACTTCGGAGATACTTATGGTGTCAATACCTTGAAGAAGTTGGTTTGCAGGTGTTTGAGGAACTCCATGGTGGCGTTTCGGAGATGGCTACGGTATCGTCGATACGTTCAAATCACAAACATTTCCAGTCAATCAGACCGTTGAGGTTGCCGTCATCGCTTCCTAGATTATCATCAACTATGGGAGCAAGCAAGAAATAAACCGCGGCCACCTTCAAACAACATAGCTAGGAGAGATCAACCACCTCAGCTGAGTGATAAAGACTATCGTCAATGAACGAAACAAATTGGACCATGCGAGCTGTAGTAAACTTGGCATTTACTTACATCACGATATCCTTCAAGGTCAATGGATTGCTATGGAGATAATGTGTATGTGTATGGCACAGAATGGGAGCCGCCACAATGCACATGATGTTCTTCGCCAGAACCAAATTTATTCTCAGAACAGAATCACAATAACCTTCACGGCATAATATGTCGTCTGGAGAATGTCTGTCCCAACAAAACTATCACCAAATCTATCTCCGACTAGGTTCTCAACGCAGATGACTGATACCACAGCCATCTCCGTTACCATGCCATCGCACGATTGACAAAGCAACCTATACGGATAGAGCAACGTTTTGACTGAAAGGCCGTCTCATTGGGCCCAGGAACGAATTGAAAATCGTCATCTGGTCAAGCTCTGATAGTACGACTGAGTACCTTAGGGAGGGCGGTCGCGAGCACTCAACCCGCAGCAGAATAAGCGTTCCGAACACTGAGTAACGCAATATCGCGGCAATGATGTTGACCAGTGAGTGATCCTATTCAGACAAGGGACAAGTATTTGTGGTTGAGAACTTGAAGGTAGCAAGGCAAGTCATTATAGCATCGCATCTGGGTACGACCTGGTCTCTCGTACTACGATGGATGTCGCCGGCCCGTGAGGACTTCAAGAGTAACTATTCCGCAACCGCCTACAGCGTCTCGTAACATGTTCCGCATCATCCACATTATAGGAACGCACCATAATACACCCTCCGATTCAGCTTACTCTAACACCAATCTTCACACAAGATGTTGTCTTCACCTCCCATACTTGATCCAGACAGCACACCCTCCCACAAAGAAAATCCCTAACAGTATCAAATTCGTCAATACCCCCTCAACCCACCTCTTAATCGCCATCTCCTCCCTCGCCTTCCACCCGCCCCCAGGCCCAGCGGCATTCGCGTGCGGGAACGGCACATCGGGCACCTCCTTACCCAGAAACTTGCACAGGGGCTCCCATCCTTCATCAGCGGACCACTCGAGCAATCGGTCAGCGGGCACCATGCCTCGGATCATGTCGCAGTGTTCTAATACGTGCCGTTAGTCCCGTCATCCCACGAGGTTTTCCTGCCACGAGACGTGGGTCCGTTTTGTCGGCGGAGGTCTCGTAGATCAGACCACGAGCATCCACTCAAGGCCAGGCAAGACTCTTGTGACGCGCGTGCAGAAAAGGCTTGTGCTTGAAAGAAGCAATAGAAAAGGCTTGACCCCCCCAAAAGCAACATTGAGCCGACACTAAAACAGTAGTCAGGACAAGAAAAAGAAAAATACTTACCACGATAAACCCACTTGCCGTTCCTCCTAATCGCTCTCGCCATATCGCCATCCGGCGCGCGGAAGAACAAGGCCCACAAGAACCTCTCATACACGTGCCACGCCCAAAACGCCTCTCGATCCAACAGACTCGACACCCAGAAGCTCCAGCTCTCGTTCACGTGAACCAGCGTTTTGACCGCGCTCTTATGCCACGAGTCAAGGTCCCGCCGCACATTGAGCACAACTTTGGCCTCGGGGTACGCTCGGATCATCTCCGCCGCAAAGCAACTCGCCGCTGCGTCCGTCACCGCGACACAGTGGCCCAGCAGCTCGTCAAATTCCTCGGCTGTGATCTGGCAGTCGCCTTCTGATGATGTGTCATCAATCTCTTTGCCTCCTTTGCGTTTCGGCGAGGATGACCCGCCACCGCCGTACCACTTCTTCCGAGCAAGCTTCACCCATCCCGTAGCAGGAATCGGCGGGTCGTCGTAGACGATATCCCAGCCGTGATAGGTATGATCGTACCCGAGCGCAAGTAGAGCCTGCTGCAGGGACTCGGTAGCGCTGCGCGGCGGACCGACGCAGAGAACTTGCATCGGCTTCGTGCGCTTGCGCTTCGGCGGTGGTGGGATGCGGTAGACGTGGTTCTCTAGGAAGCGCCACCACCAATGGTCGAGGCTTGACATTGGCGAATGCATGGCGGCACGGTACGTTTTGTTTCGTTCCGTTTCGTTTCGTTGGCGGCAAATTCGTCTCCCGCGGTCGCTACTTTAGTCCCGCGTCTGTCGGTTGTTCCCGTAGCTCGACCCGATGTTTCTCGCGGGTATTTCGTCTCGTTCCGTTAGTACTTCGCTATGAATTGCGAGTGTCTTTGAGCGCCGGTGATCTCAAGATTCCCAAAGACCGAAGATGAGCTGAGCTGAAGATGAAAAGAAGCCACAACCGAGCGTGCATATGTTCGTGCCGCAGACATCAAAACGTGCGACAGCTCTCGTATTATATAACAGCAGAGAGCTCTCTACCCCCAGTCAGGTCACTCCACCGAGAGGAAACAGGAGACATGTGCTCACAGACAATGGAAACGTTTTGTTGGAGACCGTCGTGCTGCCATAGCGTTTGGAGAGCTGACTTTTTCGTTTCTTCTCCTGTTACAATAAGTAGCAAGCAAGCGGCAGGAAGATTGCATGATCCATCCCTACAAATTCCGAGAACGAAGGAGGGTTACTTTACAAAACGCTGGCGCGGAAGGGGAGAACATGGGTATCGGATGAGGGGCAGAGGCACAGAAGCATGAAGGACAGCCTCCGCACGGCGCACGGCTCGGCCGCGGTGCTCTCGCCTTCCCCACATCCGATACCTCCGCAAAGCGTCAGCACTCGAGAACTAGAAAGCTTGCTTCCAGGACAGCTCTGCGTAATCAGAGAAGTGAACCAACTTGACAGACGTCTGTTTGGAACTTGAAATGCCTTGGTATAGTGTGATGCGCTGGCCGAACGAGGCGAGCCTCAGACGAACCGTGACGTGTGACGGGGCCTATACATGAACCGAGACAAGCCTGCCTTTTAGGCTGTCAACCTTCGGTCTCGGCTTCTCAGCCATGCTTGCAAACCCAGTATCCAGTCTTGCTCCCCTCTGCTGAGTCTAACGACCGCCAGAACTTGGTCCATCCAGGGCGACCGTCGCTCCGCAGGTACTCCACCTCCTTGACCTCGCCTTCGCTCTTCTGGCTCTCTGCTGTGAGAAGTGCTGTGTAGAGTGATTGATAAAACAGAACCTGCTTCTCAATCTCCACTGGCATCGTGTCAATGGGACCTAGGATGAGAGACTCCAGCTCGTCTGTGTCCACCTCACCGAGAGTGGAGATGAGGAGCGTTGTCACATTTGGTCGAGGAACCGGGACCCTACGAACGGAGCCCTCAAACGAAATATGTAACCGACGGAGGGCAGGGAAGTTTGGCGCGATGCTTTTGATAATGTTCAGATACTGATCTCGGGGGCTCAGTGCGCGAAGCTCAGTGATCGTGGGTGCTCCAGGTGATGGCCGCGGGGACTTGTCTAACGATTTGTCGACAAGGGACTCATCACGATCCGGTATGCGTATTTCTAGAGATGTGATCCAAGTGAGGTGCGGCGTAGCGATGGCGTACGGAAAATACATAGCCTCAAGCCTCTGCTCGAACTTGAATGTGTTGCTCGCGTACAAGACCTGTATCGTCTCTTCGTAGCTGTAATTCAGTCAGTACTGGTCATCTGATGTGACACAACCGCTGTTGGCTTAGTCTCATGCGTCACGATGAACTCGCCCAGGTGCGGAGAGCAAACTCACGCTCTTCGGCATGTCAGCAGCCACGGGAGTATACCCAGATATGTCTCCTTAGGACCACACGTCTGGTAGAACCCTCTAGGACACTGATCAGACAGTTTGGTCTCGAGCTTGCGGTCCTCGGGGCCGCACACGCAGCTCCACCAGTACCACTGCGGCGTCATACTCGCATCGGCAAAAGGCGGATCCATAGGCGACACGCTCGGTGAATGGGGGTACCAAGCCGGCACAGGTTGATGGCCTTTCCTCCATCTCACATCTGGCTGGAGGCTGCGGCGATACAGTAAGTACAGGTGTAGGATCTTGCGGCCAAAAGCCAGCTGGTAAATCTGGTAGCGGAGGTCGGATGAGAGGACCTCGAAGAACGGCCCCGCAGAGCCACCCGCACGCTTCTTCGCTTCCCTGGACGGCTGCCGTGTCCGAATGGGCAGAGAAATCTGGTAAGAGGCGACGGCCTCGGCGTCGGGGGTTACTTCGGCTCGGTCGTCTCCCTTGATCGACGTGGCCGGGACTGCGTCCGCATCCGGAGCGGTGAGAGGCGCGTCGCGCGGCATGGCCCGCGGTAATGTGTCGCGACCCAGGGTTGGTATTTGGAGGGGTAGTTCCGACATGGCTGCTGGGCGTCGTACCTAACGGCAGAGCAGATGGCGGCGCAGATCTTGATCAGTTTGCCCGACTATCTGCTGTTCTTGTTGAATATAAGAGAGCAGGAGATGTTGCAGGAGTAAGGAAACCCAGTGAGGTCAGGCAGCAGATGGTCTTGCAGACTTGAAGTACCGCCTAAATGAACCATCTGGACGCCGGGCATGACTCCGAGAAGGTCCCGGATCGGTGCGACTGCCCTGAATTTGGCGATAAGGCGGTATTCGGTACGTACTCTTCATCAGGTCCCAGTTCCAGGAAGGTCCTCCACACAGTACGAAATTTGGCAGGGAAGAGCAGCCAGCGGGTTGACGAACGGCCATGTTACAGTGCCTAGACTGTACCCCTGAATCCTGCCACTGAAGCAACCGCAAGCGGCCTTAGGTCAAGAATGCAGATGCGTCTGGGAGGATTCAGCCATGAAGGCAACTCTAGAAGAAATCAATCACTAAGGCAACCCGGATTGGCGGCGCATCTGTGAGGACTCAACCTCACGTTTGTCAAAATATCACTGGCAAGTCAGTCTCGGGAATAAGACAGATGATTCTCTTAATGTTCGCGTCTTGACAAGAGCCTGAGACTATGCTAGCAACTTTCCCCAGCATCACGCCCCTGAACTAATGGCTGTCGGTGATTATCAGGCCTCAGAGCCTCCAAAAATCTTCCAAGCAAGTAACATTCTCACCGTCCACCCTTGTTTCTCTTTGTTTCTTTCTCGTATATGCTCATACATGAGCGGTAAGTAACTAGAAACCCATCGCGATCAGAACCCCAACGACGATGCCAATGCCCGAGACTGTGAGCCGCTGGGCTGGGCTCTGAGTCACGACGGCTGGCGTGGATGTCGCGGTGGCAGCAGGAGGGTCGTCCGTCAGAATGAGAGTCTGGAACATTGGTCCATCGGGGGTCGATGTAGCAACGGGAACAGTGACATTGCCGGGAGGAGGTACGGCAACGGGAGGGTCGTCGTACGAGGTCAGACTGGTGACGTCGGGGTCGCTGGGAGTCGTCTGAGATGGCGAGGACGGGTTGGTGTATGTCTCAGTCATCGGCGCAGCCGGTGGTGCGGTAGCCACGGGAGGATCCGACTGGACACTGCCGTAACTCTGCAATCCAGGGGTGCTCTTCGGCGGGACATGAACGATGACCGTCTGAACGACAACTGTGGGAGCTGAAGGAGACGCTGGCGCCAGAGTAGTGGGAGTGCCCGACAGCACGGTGCAGGAAGTTGTCAGACCATCACTACCAGGCGTGACGCTCTGGATGATGACGGTAGATCTCGTAGCCAGTTTCACGGTACGGGTGATGGGAGGGAATCGGATGGTGGAGTACGTGATATCTGAACCTGGATCATTGCCAATTGGACCAGTCGAGGCCGGGCCAGCGGGAGACGGATCAGAGGGGAGCGGCATCTCTTTACAAGCCTTGTACACATTGGCATAGCTGCAGGTCGGTGGGTTGAAAAATCCACACTGGCCAAGCGCGGTGTTGCGGTTGCACGGGTAGCTACAGAGAGCCTCGTTCACGAATGGGAAGCTCTGGATGCTGCTCCCACAACGACAACCACTATTGCGGCGGAACAATCCATCATCAGTATCAATGTTCAGCTGGGATGATAATGTAGAGAATGGCCATGCATATGCCCTGGAAGATGACTTACTCGGGGAAAGTAGCAGCGTAGTTGCGACCGGTGCAAGCCGATTGGCACTGCTCAGGGGTGTAGCCTTTACCAAAGTCGACAAAAGCGTCGAACTTGTCCGAGGTGACACTGACGCATCCGAGATACTCGAAGCCGGAGATGACATGGTTGGCCTGAGCCGCGACCATGACAGCCACCAGCAAGATGACGAGAGGCTTCAACATGTTGAGCGGTCGTCGGGAGTAACGAGTGGAGATAGTTTTGCCTTGAAAGAGGTCGGAAATCGGCAACGTCTTAGTGAAGGTGGAAGAAACGAGTGATGATGGACTCAGAGTTGACGATGAAAGAGTGTCCGAAGTGTGATCCTGTGGAGGTTTGAAGGAATTTGTGGAAGAAAAAGAGGCGAGACCTAAGGATCCGTGAGAAGAGGTAAGAACGGGATGCCTCGATACCTTCCGCCGTCAACGTGAAATTGCGGAAGGCAGGAGTAAGGTGCAGGAAGGCGGGAATACGTGCCTTCCTCACCTTCGAACGTCGCTCACCTTCGCAGCTAAGTACTCTGGTACCATACGAGGCAGGTAGGCACCCGTCCCACCTTGGGCAGAGGGAAAGAGTCATATTGAGGAAAGGGCAGGGTGTCACATCACGAAGTCCAAAGGAAGAAATGGCGAAGATGCCTTTGATTATCTGCTCGGTCTATGTCGTCACAGATGGATGGGCTCGACCTGAATAGCCCACACTCTTCCATGCCCAGGTTCTAACACCGCCGCAGGATGGTAGCAATCGTCAGAGCTCTCCTTGATCATCACGATACCCTCGAGGCGTGTGAAACCTCTAGAGCATTCTAGAGCCAGTTATGACGGGCAAGGAGCGGTTACGGCGCAAGAGCCAAAACACGGCATCCCTCCCGTCCGTGGCCGATCGAGTCTTCATCACCCGATTGCATACACATGAATATGTCCTCCGCCGCCAGACCTATCCTCGCTGGAGCCCATGCGGCTCGCTTGCTCAAGTCCCCGAGTCAGCAGTTTAGTGCTTCTTTCTTGACGACGCAGAGACGAGCTTCTTCTTGACGCTCTTGGGAATCTTCTCCT